GCCGCGACCGGTTTACAGCGCGCCTGTAGTTGCTGTTTATCCTATTACTATCATCTTTAATCAATAAATCTATTTGTTTGGCGTACTGATCACGAATTTTCTCATGTTTTAACATACGGTATCCGGCCGTGGGTCCGAGAACAATGTATTCTACTATTCGGTATCTGGCCGGATAGTAAAAATAGGCCGGATACCGGATAGTTACCGGATACCCGTTTCATCTCCAATCTGCAGATAGCATAATTTCCTGTAAATGCAAAATCTTACATAAGATCGTAAGAAAAAATTAAGGGGCTTCCTGTTCCAGTTAAGATCTCTCGTTCCTGATATTCAAATCGTATTCAGTAATAAAATCGTTTCACACATGGCTACAGAAGCCATCGACTAGGCCTATAATAATGTTAATCTAGAGTATCTTCTAACCATTTTACATAGTTTTTATATAAGTAGTTGAGATTGGAGCTAAAAAATGTACCTAGGTACATACATCTTCTTTTAATTTATTTATTAGTATATCACTCTTAAGCTAAACAGATTTGTATTAGTGTTGAAACTCCTCTAAAAACAACATTAATATGTTTTTTAACGTAAACATGATACGAAGAAACTATGAAAGTATAACACAAACGAGGTTGAGCGTACAGCCCGCCCCAATTTGACGTAAAATTATCAACTATTGAAAATAATTTAAATTATAACATGTGAACACATATTAATATGTTATAATTTACAATAGCATGTATAGATAACATATTAATATGTGGAATATATAATCGTAGCAGCAGAGCTCCTTGTGAAAGAGTTATTTCTGCCGCCAAGCAGTAATATCAGCATTACTGTGTTCCAGTTTTGAAGGGTAAGGGTGCTGATGAAATTACAGGCACATGGAACTTGTCAACTCATGTCTCAGGTTGACGGGCGCAGTGGCAGTGCCCCTCAGATCTTTGCGATTTAAAGCTCTGAGTGGCACTGCAATTGTTATGGACAAGTGAGTAGCTTACCATCAGGCGCACGACTTGTTTGTCTCGTTACTAAATATTATAAATAAATATATGGAAAGAAAGGAAAATTCATATTAGAACTGATAACGACATTGCAATTAGATATTATAGTGGAGGTCTAGCACAGGATGATCCGTCATGCCCTTTGTGTATAAACGCCCTTTGAGAATATTAGATATACTATACTATACTTATACTTGTTTTCGTTGTTATCTTTTATGTTAGTCGAGAAGGAAGACCTTTGAGCAAATTTTACATGTCTGATTGTAATATCCTCAATTATTATTTTTATTTTATTTTTCTTTACTGCAATTTCACACAAAAATACACATTCGCATAATCTCGCGATGCAATCGCGTTGCATCATACCGGACGTAATGTCGGACTATATTGCAGCCATACTAAGTAGGTGTAAATTACGAGCAAAATTTGGGGTTATTAGATTTCATTATCCACAAAGAATCTCTCTCACCTAAATTCCCATTGTCGCATAAGTTTATGTACTTATCATAGATACTTAGGTTACCTCTATTAAGTTTACGAAGCATTTTTTCTTTCATTGGAATGTGTTAGTACATAGATAACGCTATTGTAATATACTTTAAAATGAGTTCTGTCGTTTTTATTGTGATTTATCTGCATTATTTCGGTAACTGTAAATAATGATATCGAAATAAAATTGGATAACACCAAGGAGCCGTTGGATTCCCCTACTGCAAGATCTTGATGTCCTTGGGTGATGGTAAACGTATTTTATATAATTTATTTGAAGAGGATAAACCTAAGCCTAATTGAATTGTTTTATTATGGTCAATTTATTTTAAATCCTTAATAAGCAGTGGTATAAAATATATTAACAATTTATTTAACAATTTCATTAGTAACAGGGAAATATTTTATTATAGACGACCTCGGTGGCCCAACAGTCTACAATGTGGGCGCTGGATGGGGAAGTTCCGAGTTCGTTTCCCGGTAGGGCTAAATTGAGAAATGTATCTGGTCTGTGTGTTCTGGGAAATGACCCAAAGTGAATTCCGTTGCTATGGTATAGTACAGGGAATCCCCTTATTTGAGACCAGGCAATTGGTGTGGTTGTCTGGCACATTATTACTATTATTATTATGGATATCTATTTTAGACTCTCGCCTCCCCCATGGCCTAAAAGGTTCATGGTATTGTATTACATTATTTCATTCATTCATTACATGGGTTCATTGTATTGTGGTACATTGACAACGAAAAAATCTTTAGGTCCTATTTTCGCTAAACTTTGATCATGGTGATTGACACGTTATTGCTTATCAGCATCCATCCACATAAATATTTGTCTTTATTAGTGATAATATTGTAAGCAGCGGTATACAGAAAAATCTATAATAGGTTCATGCGACACCGTTTTGTGTATTTTGACTTATTATAAGAGATATATGTTATGAATTTAAAAAAAAATTAAGAGCTTGTAACGCATATGCGAACTCAATTAGTTTAGGCATATATTGCAGAGTGATTTTGAATAATATGAGTATTTATTTAGAGTCTTCACAACGATCTTTCGATTCCTTCATTCATCACAAGTAACAGTGGAGTTACACTGGTAAGCCCGACGTAAACTTAGAGGAGAAACAGCGACGTACACGGGTGATGCCTCGGCCGCGCCCGAGTACTCGCGAGTCAAGCAGTAATATGAGATTTACTGCACCGGTTCTGAAGAGGTTGCTGGTGAAATTAGAGGCATATGGGACTAGTTCATTTATTGAAATTCAAATTTCAAACTTCTATTTCGGACATTCATCATGAGAGTTAATAACTGAACACTTAAAAATGGGATTAGTATTACAAATAATAATTATGCGTCATTCTTATTGATATGCATGATCACTTATGTCTCATGGTGACGGGCGCAGTACCTAGCAGTGCCCAGATCTTTGCATTTTAAAACTCTAAGTGGCACTGCGGTCACGGATAGGCGTATCGCTTACCATGGTAAGCTACACGCCTGCCCATAACAGCTGCAGTGCCACTGCGCCCGTCACCATGAGATATAAGTTGACAAGTCCCATGCGCCTGTAACCACCAGCAACCTTACCCTTCAAAACCGAAACACAGCAATGCTGATATCACTGCGGGGCGGCTGAAATAAGCAAGGTGGCAGTACTTCCCTGGACGAACTCTTTCATAAGGAGCTCTACTGCTACTATTGTATAAATGTATAATAAAGCTTTAGTTTCTTTTACAAGGAGAAAAATAAATAACTAAAATCCTTTTTGTCCCGCCCGACTACGTCAAACATATATGTGTGCAACAGTAATATTTTCCAAAAAATTTTGAAGACGAAATGGACACCTTCAAATTAATCTTATCTATATTTATTTATATGTATAGTCGAGATAAATATTGTATGATTTTGAAATATTTGTACCAATACAAATTCAAGTTTCTATTTTTTCCCATTTTTTAATTAAAAAATTTACAATATCAGCAACGAACAGTAAAGTTACTGTTAAGTAGCAATTTTGCAACTTTGACTGTTTAATTCAAGATACAAACAAACACCCACAAATTAAATACTAAGTAGGTTCTTTGGTACTTACAACACACGGCTAGGTCTTTTCCAGTAATAACTTACGTTCTCATTATTTTCAAAATACCTACTATGCTCTTAAAGAACACTACAATAATTTGGACGAAATTTGTATTCTGAGCGTAAGCGCACGCCATTACAATAATTGGCTATAACAGAGCTTACCTTTGTGCGTGTATGTGGTAATATTTACGAGAACGAGGAAACAACAATAACAATACATACTTTTTAAAAGGACCCGTATGCCTCTTAACCATAGACTACAAGACGTAGGTACCTACCTAAATATTTATTTGACCAATAATAAGTATATTACCAGCAAACGATTCATACATGTACGCATACTTATACATGTGTATTTACGTTAGAGTATCTACAAGCTATAGCTACCGTAAAGGTATAACGATATCCCGCGAAAAAATTTCAGAAATTTAAATTATTGAAGAAAAATTAAAATTAAGTGTTCTGGCAGTATGACTATTACTAAGTATTAGACGCCTTAGCCTGTCCCTATGCCCTAGCCTGACCCGAAGGACGAAAATATTTGCTACTTCATAGATTTTCTTTATAATATAAAGTGGCAGGATGAACGAGTCGTGCGCCCGATAGTTAACTACACACCGGTCCATAACAGTTGCAGTGCCACTCAGAGCTTTAAATCGCGAAGATCTGAGGAGCACTGCCACTGCGCCCGTCACCCTGAGACATAAGTTAACAAGTCCCATGTGCCTGTAATTTCACTAGTACCTTTACCCTTCAAAACCAGAACAAAATAATGCTGACATTACTGCTTGGCGGCAGGAATAGGTAAGGTGGCAGTACTAACCTGGACAAACTCTTTCACAAGGAGCTCTACTGCTACTATATATATAAATATATAGATACTGTATTTAGGTTGATTAATACGTCCTACAAAAAAAATAGGCTCAATGCGTGCTTGCGACTTCACATACCATCAGTTGGTTACGTCCACGTCCACGAAAAAATATTTTTTTAACAAAATTTTCACATAGATTGTTTTTATTCTTCCTTTTAAAAACTTTCAATTAATGAGTACAGCATACACCTACTGCAATAACTGGATACGTAGATAATATTATATCGCGTTACTATCGCCATATAGCTAAAAAAAAACTGCAAAGTGTAAAAGATTCATTTGCAATTCAACATAACGAAAAAATCTAACATCACTTATTTGCTGATGATGATGATTTACTTTAACGTATTTTAAGTTATATAGAAACACAAATTTTTCCTTAACTTTTATTCTAACAGATTTCCATCGGTAACAATGTTCAGAGCAATAATAAAAATGTAAATAGCGTCATTAAAATAAAACATAAAATGACCCGTAACTTCGTAGATGTGCACTGATGTCGGCATCATTCTGGCATCATCTCATTCTTTATCCAACCTCCGCGTTGATATGTAGTTTTCGAAGTCACGAGGTTTTTGGTACGGAAAATGTTCAGAAAATGACAGTAAATTGTTACACATTAATTTTAAGTGAAGTGTCGTGAACAAAAATGGAGTTAAAAGGAACGGACTTGGAGGCGAACGAGACAATAGCCCAAGTGATAGATTATTTGCATATAAGTATAACGAATTTGACAAATTCCAGTCAGGAAACTCAAATAAAGTTGTTCGACTTGTTCGAAGCATACAGGACAAGGGAGAAGGAACAATTGGGCGTGTACAAGTTTGTTGCTTATGTCATTGGGACACTTATCATTTTAAGTAATTTGACTGTTGTTATATCAAGCGGACTTATATTAAAGAAAGGTAATACTTTAACACAAACTTTATCGAAATTAATTAACTATTTACACTTAGTTTTAGGTTTAGATGAAAATAATTACAGGTCTTTCTTACGATGAATAAAGACTATTTTATTTGATGATTTCAGTTTAATAAATCGGCATTATGAACACTACATTTTACCACCTTTCTTTTCCTAAAGGGGTATACACTTAAACTTTTTATGTAAAAGGAAATTCTTCGAGTTAAAATTTATTAAGAAAATCTTATATTCTCAACAAAAAAAAAATTAATAAGCATAAAGAACACAGAAAACATCATTTATACAACATCATTTAAAACAGACATATTCAAATGTTTCTTCCAGGGCTTGTTATACTCTATAAACGCATAGTAACAGTAGCGTAAGCAAAAAAAAACTACAAATTTTCTTTAATAGATAAGATTAAAATTCTTAAGTGTTTTAATCATTTTTAATAAGTACTTAACTGTTTACAAGCTATGAAATGTGTAGTAGCTTTTCGTCATGAATTCTTGACTTTTTTATGTACGTTACGTATTATTGAGATTAGCATTCCATTAAAAAATCATCCGTACACGAAACATCTCAAGGAGAGGTCGTGAAATTACAATGAACCAAGGCCAGACTATCTCAATTATTGCCAAGTAGTAATAACTTGAAGTCAACATTCAAAGGAATTTGTGCTATGTGCTAATGCCCTGTTAATGATTTGTGTAAATAATCTTTTTCCATGCGTAAGATTCTAAATGACTAAGCTTCTGATGCTACCAATGTGGCCTGTTCGTCATTTCTTTAATTATTTAATCTTCAATTATAATCTTATAATGCGTCGAGCTACAATCATATTTTAAGAACACAAGTAGGGCAACTCCCGCCTGTTCGGCGCATCAATGGCTGCACTTTTAATGTGATTTTTTAAACACCGAACGAACACTTATATTCTATAATGAATGGCGCGTGGGAAGACCCGCGCTATGTAACGCGAGTACTCCGCGAGATCATGCGAATGTGTGCGTCCCTACACGGCATGCGGCGGGCGTGCGCACATACAAACCGCACTGCTATGTTTGTATGGAGTTACCATTTTTGTCTTGTTGTATTATGCTACTACTCCTGAGTGCTACTCAGGGCGAGAGTTAATACGCATTATTAAAGCATGCCTAACATCGATGGTCACATCGTTGCTTAACATCAAATGAGAATGTAGTCAAGTTTTCGTCTACATTAAACAAAATCAGAATTCTATGACTTGGAAATGTATCTAGACGAATGTAACAAATATTGAACAAATTTAACTAATAAACAATGAAAGGAATGATAATATTTTATATGATTGAGTTAAATTTAACGAAAATACTGCGTCACTCGACACGTCATCGTCGTCACAACCTATTGTGAAATGACTTCGATTATTGATAATCCTCAAATTAATTATGAAATAGAATTTAAGATACGGAAGAATAATAAGTAGCACGTTTATGATACCTCTTTTTTATCGTAAAAAATATTTATTTTTTACGATAAATTTATTTTTTAGATCAGGTAATGGTAATATTATGCAACCTCAGGTCAATTTCAGACACGATTATCTATTGAACTACAGTAAACTTTAATCAAAATTCATTACATCAAGGTCGCTCTACGTGTACCCAATATTCCAACGTACATACACTTATGTATATAAAAAATACATATGTGCAACGTTAGAAATAAATTCATATTCACAAGTTATTATACTTATCTCTATCTTATTAGAAATAGTTTATTATACCACATACTTCAATACCGTGCGATTTTGCGTCGCGAATCCTTATAGCCTTAGTACGAGCACAGAGGAAACAAGTATATCTTCTCTCAGCTCTCAATTACTTTAAATTGACATGAATTTACCTTCACAAGCGCAAATTAACTACAATGTTCACTAATGGTGTAATAACACATACCGGTACAAGTAGAGCAACCCTTAGGGTTTCTTGATCATTCCTCTCAGGGGAATCTGCCTTACGAATGAGCAATAGAGTTTAATTAATATGACTATTTCAAATATAATTTGCTTACCTATGAAATATAGATAATTTGAATTTGAGTTTAAGTACACAGTCAAAAGAAAAGTTTCTCTACTCTTTGCCATAAATTCGTAGCCTATATTGTATACAAGGGGGTTACCAGGGGATTATTTTGAAAATATAAGAGATATTCAAAACACAATTCAAAACAAAGCACATTACCTAATGAGTAAAACGACATTAATAAGTTCTAAAAAATAAAACTAGAAGCATCCAAAATTTTTACGGCAAACTCTCCCACACATTTAATATGACATTCGTAGAGAAGCTTAGTTGCCCTACTTTAAGAGGTAACAATAAATTTACAGATAACGAAACTGCTATGAAGAAACTAATAAAACTATCTTTTAATTGATTAAAAACAAAGTGATGTTTATTTTTAAATAAATACAAAAGTGCCTCTCTACGAATGTCATTTTAAATCAGTGTTAAAATTTTGGATATTTCTAGTATTATTTTTAATATGTCTTTTACGTATTTGGTGACGTACTTTCGATATAATTTTAAAATATTTTGATATCTCTATATTGACGGACTAATGGCCTGGACACACTTAACGATTACATCCTTTATACCGAACCTGTGTTCTTTTACCACAGGACAACAGCCGAAGAGTACATATCTCCTACTTGGCAATGTCTCCTTGGCTGACACGATTATCGGCATATCCATCATTTTCGGTGCCATCGTTGACAACTCTAGGAGCTCCAATCCTTTGTGTATATTTCAGATTGGTACGTATTATTTTTTATGTATTAGAAAGTGTAAAATACGTAAATACGTACATAATGATATATAAAATAAGTTTAAAGAGATTAACTATGTTACGCTAAAGTCAAAGTACATTTATGAAAATGTAATTAATGTTAAGAAGAATAGTAATTTTTTAATGAAAAATAGTGACAGGCTTATCATTAAAAGGAGAAATAAAAATAAACTAGCAGTTAGTATAACGACGACTTCATTGTATCGGAAGAATACAATTGGGAGAGTAAAAGTTAGTCAAATTTAGTAAAAAAGAATTTCATGCATAACTAATGACCAACTTCTGTTGGTCCGAAAATAATTGTTATAAGAAACTATCACCATTAAAAAAATAGTCAATTTTATTTTTTTGTTTGAAAAACAATTTATGAAATTTTACCAACGTCAGCTGTCCCGATTTTTTTTGTCCCATACAATGAAATGATCACTGGAGGACAAGCGACGCTTGACCAAAAAATGACGTCAAAATTGTTTTCACAAAAAAGACTTAATGGTTCCTAAGACAGTTTTTCTTTTCCTTTTTTAGTTTCCTTGTATCTTCTATGGTTTCGGATTTTCCCATACTGTCTATTAAAAATAATACTATATGAATACGTGCCCATTTATTAATAATTATAAAAATATATTATTTACTTTCTTGAATTTCGCAATGTTTGACCACCGTGAATAACAAAAATAGTAGCTACGTCGCTTTTCTTTTCTCTAAATACCGGTGATTATGTACAAACGCGCACTCCAACTCATAGAACGTTTATGAGTAAATTAGTAGCAGTAGAGCTCCTTGTGAAAGTGTTCGTCCAGGGAAGTACTGCCTCCTTATCTATTTCAGCCATCTAACGGTAATGTGAACATTACTGTGTTCCGATTATAAAAGGGTGCTGGTGGACAAGTTAACAACAAGAAAAACTTCAGATAAGCTTTTTAAATAGAATTTCTAACCTTCGATTTTCTTTTACAATGTACAAATGTACGGATATTTATATTACAGATTTCACGCTACAGTTCATAAGCTATACCATCTTCATTGGTATATCCTGGTATAGGTACCAATGAAGTAATCCTAGCCTCAGTTTACCAAGGGGTAAAAAACATTATGCGAATAACAGATAATCGCTTTCAATGAGTATAGTTAAATCCTCTTTATCAAAGAAAAGTAGCAACTTATAGGTAATAATAGGAAAAAGATTGAGTGTGAACATAGAACATTAGCATAGATTTGAACCTCGAACCATAGAATAAGAAACTTATTTATGTAGCGTAATAAGAAACTTATTTCCTGTAGTTGTGTATGACAAAGTTACTACCTCTAATCTTCATAATCTCTATAAAAAAAATAACTTCAGTTATAATGAGATTAATTACACGAAAAGTATTAAAAAAGTAGACAAAAGAACATGCAAAAAATAGATAACAATCATTTCGTTGTGTATACTTGTAGTTAGTCCAATATAAACTTATTACGTTTTGTTAATACAATAAATAGGTACTAACATTATTAGTAATACTGACATTCCCGAAGTTCAACCAATTAAACAATTCAGCCGAAACACGTCCAATGCTGGATATCTTCCGGTGCTCGGATTTTCACTACCAAAGGATTCTTACAACCTTCACAAGCTTTTCAAGGTCGTCGGTCTACCTTATGCCTGCCTACGCTATGTCTTCCAGTATACGCCTTATTATGTTCTATTGACGATAAACACCTCCCCGACGCTAAGTTACTGATTGTTCTATAACTGCCCTTGAAAACTATAATAACAATATGACCTTTGTATTACTTAGGTGACCTTCCGAGGTACAAAAGCTCATTATACAAGTGAAGCCTAAGAAATGACTTGATTTTAGCAGTGTTGATAATTATTTTTCAATCAAATCAACCACATAATTATTCCACACAAACAATTTCATTGCTGGACAATTACATAAAAAGGCTGTTCTATTATACAACAGGTAGCCCATATATTAAATTTCCAAAATTCAACCAGCATGGTTCTATTTGGACGTCGACAAAACATTCGAAACCGTCTGACATCATGATCTCTATCATAAAATGATCACAGTCATAAATCCTTTTTGTTTAGTAAAGCTGATCAGTGCCTATCTCTGTAACCATGAATTCGCTGTTCTTATCGGGATTACATTTAATGAGGTTCCTGCGGTTGTACCACAAAGCGCAACTACATCGTACTGACTTGACATGTCACGTCGATGACACTGCTGCATTTACGGCACAGACATATCTAGATATATATATCTTGATAGACGCCGCAAGTACAGCAATTTGTATGAAAACCAAGCGTGCTACATTTTTTGTACCCAATAGGACGTCACAAGAGCTATTTAGTGATGAAACCTCCTTATGCTCGCTCTAAATCGATTGATTGAACGGAATACGCGTAAACACGCGTATCCCATTCAATGAATCGATTCTAAATATAATAATTTTTGTTGAAGTATTTGTTGACTACAAGTAGTCGTAATAATAATATACTAGAATGTGATAGTTAAGTACTTTATTTTACTTGTGTTAAAAAAATGTTGATTACTAAAAAAAATTAAGACGTTAATTTTTAATCGACTTCAAATATTAAAATTATTGTCCTTCCAATCAAATGAGCTTATTGTACAGGCTGTATATTTGAAAGTGAGACATATTCATACATGTCATAGTAAACCATGTTACAACTTAACATAGACTAAAATAAAATTAGGATATGGGATAGAACAAAAAATAAATCAACAAAATGTGTTATGAAGTGTACATAGGAATAAACCGTTTCCCTTTACGCTTGATTTCGAGTGCAATGGGAATTCTACCAAGCGAGCACCGAGTGCAACAGCAACAATAACAATTATTTCACATTTACGTTTTAGCTTATGTTAATTATTTTTTACTTGAACTATCATCGAGATGTTTTACGTACTAAAAAAGATAAGTTTATGATTTAGTAACTAGTTATCATTTAATAAGAATTGAGGTTTTTGGCGTAGTTAAATAAGTGAAATCAAATTATTTACAATGATTGATTTTTAGTTATTTACAGTTTATTTACACTCACGTGGTACGGAGCAAGTGTTCAAAATGTCCACCGTTTTCCACAATGCATAGTCTAGCATGGCATAGTAAATTTTGTTTAAAATTGTATAACACAAACACATTTTGTCTCACAGTATAAAATGCTGAGATAATCCTCTCCCGCAACACTTTGACACTGTTCACCTCCTCCGCGTAAACTCCGATTTAGGAATATTTCAATAGTAAAGTCGCACCATCTCAGTCAATTCAACGTTAGAATAAATATCCATTTTGCAACGATCGGGCGAGCGGAAGTACAAATAATTTACGTGTCTTCGTTGGATGAAGGTCGCGCGTGCACTGAGCAATTTCACGTATGCGCTCGCGCCCCCACCCCCGACCTGTGCTTTGTATTGTCGCCACTTGCCGCTGCGTCGGAGCAATAATAGTGATGTGCATAGATTTCGATTACTAATGTTGTTCTCAAGTAGTAGTCGATAACAAAAATTTAAAAAAATATTTTTTGTAAAGTTTAAGTTCATTAGTTTATTATTTCTTTGGGTTCAGAATCAGAAATATAACGCACTATATAAGTATGTCCCACTTGAAAGTGGGATATACAGCCTGTATAACATAGTTTTGTAATAGAAAATCTTATCGATAGAAAACGCATGTCAATATAATGAACTTGCGACTGTCTTAATTAATTTTACTAGATGATTTTCTGTTGATAATTGATGAAATTGATGAATGGCAAGACAAATGAAAATGTTATTACTGACAAAATATGGCTAAATGTTATTAATCAGAGGAGGTTTACTTAATGACGGCCTCGTGTGAAATTTTTGTGATTTGTTTATTATTTCTCGAATTTCTAACTCTGCTACTCTGCATATTTGGAAAGCATCTTAGGTGGAATAAACTAGACCACCATCGTCCTCGAAAGCAACGACCTCATATATATGACCAACTCCAGGTTTTTGTAAAGACAGGGCACTGTTAATTCTTTGCATTATATATTTTTTGTATTACTCGTACTACATATCCGGCGATGTATGTAATTATTTGCTCAGTATTCGAAGCAACGTGCTGCAAAAATTATCGAAAACAGATACTACTGATAATAAATAATACAAAACTTAAAAAAGAACGAAACGTTACTAAACGTTATAACAAAAGTGTTATAGAATATTTTTATAATATTGCTAATGTCATAATAATCCCTCGTCGACCCTTTGCTTTCAAAATCGATCAGAATCGAGAACAGTGTTGCCTAACGTACTCGTATACATCACTAAATGTTAAATATGGCCAAAGAAATGTACAAGCGCCCGTACCACGAAACTGAATGCATTGTACAAAAGTGCGTTAGTTCGATAATCATGGCGTATTAACAAAGGATCACAAATATATCGCACCAAGTGAAAGCCGTAATGTATTACAAAACATGAGGCGTACACTCGCTTGCATATTTGTGTCCTCGAAATCGATACGAAACCGAAATAATTATTTTTAAAATAAATTATGCATCTTCTGATTACAAAATTACTTGCCAGTGGAAGGAAACGTCCCTGTTTACCCGTTTACTCACAGTTATGGTGCTTTTGCATTTTACAATGGCACAATTATGCATTTTACGCGTTTTCGACTGGTGTTTATCTACGATAACGGTCGAGCGCGTTCTGAACTGTAGCAGCGGCAAGTAAGTGAAT